AAACCCTGTGCTAGAGACTTCAAGTTTCGCATGTAATCCTCAAGGTAAGGATTACCACACCCACTCCACAGTTGAGGAATACAAAGTTAATAGAGAGAAGTAACCTAAACAGTCACACCAGCCCTCACTGTCTAGATTCCCCAGTTTAAACCTAGATCACAGTCCAAAATCCAGTCTTTTTTCTGAGTTACACACTGTTCCTGATGGTCCTCTGTTAAAAGTCCTCAAAATTTTTATCTCCAGCTTCAAACTTTTCCCAATTTAAATATCCAACTGGTGACTTTCCATCTCCATTGAGTTTGTAACCAGTATCTCAAATGTAACAAAATCAAAAAAGAACTATGGGATTTCCCTAACCACAACCACAATTCCCCCTCCATCCCAGCCTCCTACTTCACCTCCAGTTGCTCCATCCAGTTACTCAGGCCAAAAACAGAATCTTTCTCCTTTCCACACCCATCTTGAATTCATGCAAAAATTCAGCACTACCTCTAAAATATGCCCAGAAGCTGAGGGCATCCCAATGACTCATGACTACTTCCTAAATTAAGGTTCCACACTCTCCTCCTAGGAAAATAACAACAGTAGACTTCCAGGGCCCAAAGCACATGAGGAAGGATTTTTGTTTATTACTGAAGACTAGAACACTGTTTACACACATGAGGCAGTTGAAAAACTTCCCTGAAAGAGCACCTCTGTTCTCTTTACCTCTGCTGGAAACTTAGAGGAATAAAATTGGGGATTGAAAGGTCTCACTAAGACAAGAACCAGAGGTGGGGGGAGGAATGGGTAACAAGCTGTTTAACAGCTTATGGAAGTTTCCAGGAATCTGAGATTTGATAGGATTATTTGTACAGAAAACCAACCCAACCTGACCCCAAAGATCGAAAATTCTGCAAAAGAATGACTTCTCCTTCCCACAAACCCCAAAAAACACTATAAAAGAACACCCCTTGTGCTGGCAAAAATGCAGATATGCCCACCGGTGTCTCTGAGGGTTTCTTTCTTCAACCTGCCCCTTTCAAATGCAGCTCTTTAGCTGTCTGTGTCTACACAGGCATCTCTTTTTTCCTCATAAACCTTTAAAATGCAGCTGTTGCCTGTTTGTGTCTATGCAAATGTCTGTCCTTTCCTGCCCCCCTCCCCTCCCAAGCAATAAACTCTCTGTGGCTGAAGGAGAGAGAAGCTGCCAAAATCTTGCTCAGAGGAATCCAAGGGCCCCATACACCAAAACCCATCATTAGAACCCAACACCTCCATCTCTGATACAGTCCAGTATGCATTGTATCCGAAAAGATTTTTTAAAGATATTATTTATTTATGTATACAAAAACTGGGATCAAGGCCAGAGGTGCAGAGTGGTGAGAGAATTCACCAGAGACAGAGTAGGGAGCAGAACAGGCAGATCTACTGACATATACTGCTGAGAGGAGCAGCAGGCGAGACAGGAGAGGTCTTTTATGCCATGTGGGTTAGATTCCTGGCCAGAGATCAAACTCATGCAGCAGTGGCTGGACATAATTTGATATTGCTGAGATTTAACCCCTGTGCCACCATGGAGGTTCCCAAAGTGATTTCTAATGAGTGTTTTATATGTTCTTCATATATTTTGAATAGTAACCCCTTATCATGTACATGACCTACAAATATTTTCTCCTATTTAGCAGACTGCCTTTTCATTTCGTTGATGGTTTTCCTTAGAGAAGCTTTTCAGTTTGACATAATCCCACTTGTTTATTTTTGCTTTTACTGCCTTTGCTTCTGGTATCAAATCCAAAAAAATTTTTTTTGCTAAGGCTGATGTTAAGGAGCTTACCCACTCACTGAGTTTTCTTCTAGAAATTCTATGTTTTCAAGTTTTATGTTCAAAAGCTTTAATCCATCTTGAGTTAATTTTTGCATATGGTGTGAGGCAGGCATCCAGCTTATTCTTTTGCATCTGATTGTCCACATTTTCCAACACCAATTATTCTTTGTCCACTGTATATTCTTGGCTGAGTTTTTGTCTTTTTTTTTTTTAGTTGTTTTTTTAATTCCAATTCAGGCCCCGGTTTTCCCTTGTTAAAAAAAACTTCCAACAAAGTTTCTTGGATGCTCACAGTTAAGCAAAAGACTCTCAGACGTCATAAATATCCATCCCTACAGCCAGGGACATCCACTTCTTTTTGTCTAAGAGTGTTTGCCAAATGTCACTACTTTCCTTTGAGCCAATTCTAGATATCTTCCATCTATTAAAGATCAGAGAGAAAACCAAAAACCTTCCCAAGAGCCTGTCAATGCAACCACAACAAAATTCAAACTCCAATGATGATTAACAGAGTCTCGGCCACATCTGTCCCTGTCTTGCCTCTGTGACCTCACGGCTATTATCTACGACAGTCAAACTACTCTGTACTCCCTTAAGTTCCTTGAACATCCTGGAGGGCTCCTTACTATCAGTCTTACTTGAGTGCCTCCTTTCATTGACTAGTCTCAATTTCAAGAGTATCCTCTCAGACAGGTCTCCCCAGCAACACTACCCAATGTTACTGTACTAATCCTTACTGTTTCAGTTTACATGCTTACAAAATGCCACCACTCCCCCAAACTGGACCTAAAACTAAGGGCAAAGAGGTGGTTTGTCTGGTTCATTGCTAAATCTCCAACTCCACAGACATAAGAAATAAAAAATATATTTAGTCATCATTCCCAGCATGCAAGTGGGGGGAGTACTGGAGGGGGAAGAATCTTGTGTGATTAAGCCTTTACCCTGTAGGATATTCCAGGTAGTGTCAAAATTGATTGAATGATGAGACATACTACTGGTGTCCAGAGTTGAGGAACTGGTTAGCAGAGAGGGGAAAATTACCTAACATACATTCAGTGTCAGAAAGGTTGTGAGCAAAAACAGAACGGTTCAAGGGCTCAAAAAAACAAGACTTGGATTTAGATAGCTTCTGATGGTGCTGTGTTTTTTTTTTAAATGTAAACTTACTAGCCCCATCTATATGAAATCATAGTCATCAGCATCTCAGTTGAAATTCACCAGTGATGCCTCAGTCCTGAGAAAGCAGAAGTCAACTTTCTTATGATGAATGGCTATTTTGGTTTTGGTTTTTTTTTGTTTTTTTAAAGATTTATTTATTTGCACATACAGAACTGGGGTACAGGCCAGAGGCTCAGGGGCGATGGCAAGAGGCTTCACCAGAGACAGAGTGGGGAGCACAACAGGCAGATAGATGAAGTACACTGCTGAGGGGAGCAGTGGGCGGGTCAGGAGGGGTCTGCCACACCATGTGGTCACCTCCAGGGCAGGCAGGAATTGAACTCATGCTAAAGTGGCTTTAACTTCTTAGTGCTGTGCTTTAACCCGCTGCACCACCAGGGAGGGCCAGATTTTGGTTTTTTCCAAAGTTGTAAAGGGGATTTTAAAAACCAATCCTTAAATCTAGCCAAAATATCAATCATATCAGTAACTTCTTGAGAAGAAAATTTGAGTACTAGTAATTTTCTGTGCCCTAAATTGGTTGCTTGGAGGCACAGAAAGCATCACAAGGCTTCCATAAGAATAGAAGAGGGCAGATGCCCCTAAGTAGCTATACAGTAATTACTGTATAATGAACAGGGTTGTATAAAACTGGAAAGTATCTAAAACAATAGAAGATCTGCAAAGCTTTCTTGAGATTTTGAAGATTTGAAGATATTACACATCAGTGAAAAGCCACATCTCTGAAAAGGCCATTCTAAATGCATGCCACTTACAATGAGGACACTGAGTTGTTAGAAAAAGGATGGCTTATCTGCCAGAATGGACTGCTTACAGAAACTCAATTTAACCCCTGAATGTCTTAACAACTGGCCTCCCTTGTACTAAGCTGAATGTTTCAGTACACAAGAACACACCTGTACCTGAACACCCCCAGAGTGTGATCTATTTATAAAAACACACCATTAGAGTTGTACAGACGTGCTGATTATCACTATGAATAAGAAGGCAGAAGCTCCATCTGGGAAAGGCTTTACCTGCTTAGTTTTTTCTAACTCTATAGGAGGGACTGAAATGAGCATAAACGGGTCACAGACTAATTTTCACTTCCAATCAGAATATGACGCCTATTCCAACTGTTCATCTGTGTTTTAAGATATCATGAGTTTAAACAGTGGAGCCAGGGAAATGCACTGGACTATGGTGATGGCACATGGGTGATTTGGTGATGGGAAGCCCAAAAGGATTACAACTGAGATAGGAAAATGCACAAAATGATGTAAAAATAAACTACTATATTATTCATTAAAAAAAAAGATATCATGAGTTTAACAAGAGAGTTATAAAACAGGTTTGGGCAAGTTCACTTGTAAAAAGGGGCGGAAAGACTAGGCTCTACCCAAGTAGTCAGTCGGGTCTTGTGTCTAGCCAGGGCTGGGTCAGGCAACATGGAGGGCTGGGTTTTCCCTGTTCCCAGAGCTGAGTGCGGTAGTTTGGAAACCAGGTTTCGAGACATTATTGCAGATATACAGCCACTTCGAGATGCCAAGCGCAACCTAGGTCCCAAGAACGTAGTTTGGTTCAGGATAAAGGAGATAAGACGTTGACTGAACCCAAAGCTTCTTCTGGGTTCACAAAACCGGGTAGCTATGCAGCTCCGCACCACACTCATTCCCTGGAAAGGGAGGCAGGGGCGACAAGCTCCAGAAGCAACGACGGGTCCTCACCCACCTGCCTCTCCCCTAAGCCCAGCCCTTAGTGAAGTCCCGGAGGCCAGGGGAAGACCTCCGCGTCGCTTGCGACTTCCCCGCCTCTCTCCTCTCCCATCCGTGTCACAGGGTTTACCGGACGGCTGAGCGCGGCGCTCCGGCCTGAGGCACTCATCCAGGCGGCTGGGGCTCTACCCTAGACCATCCACCACCTGCCCATTTTCGGTCGCACCGCTGGGGCGCACACCAGTGTAGCCCGCGGTGCCTGGGCTCAGGGCCAGGCTGCCTGACACGCCGCCACCAGTTCGGTGACCTCCCTCGCTTACCTGGCCAGCACAACACTGTGCTGACATCGTGGCGGCTGGAGCCTACGGGTGCGCTTGCCGCTGGCCGCTCCCCTCCGGGCCTTCTGGTTCACTCCGGCCTCGTGATCACCTCTCTGCACCAGCTCACGACTATACCAATCAGTCCCAGCTGAGAGGCACCACCCCTAGGCGAAGACGCCCCGCCTCGCCCCCAGGCCCAGACCCGCCCCCAGGTCCCGCCCCCAGGTCCCGCCCCCGGGTCCCGCCCCCGGGTCCCGCCCCTCGAGCGCTCTCGGCCCCGCCCCTTCCCCTGTAAGCGGCTGAGGAGCAGGCTCTTCCCGACCTGCCACTTCCGCTGGCGTCAGGCGCTGTGGATACGGCGGTCACTTCCCAGTACGAAACCGGGCTCCGGAAGAAGCCCACCCGCCGCGTGCTGCCTAGCCGGTGCCTTGCGGAGGAGGGAGCCCCTGGTCCTACTCTGCGCGCTGCCTCACGCTACTGGGATAGCCACGGGATCCCTGTTCCTGAAATGGTGCCACCTTGCTCATCTGCCAAGAGAACGTCTCAATTTTAGGGAAAGTCCCCGCTGCCCAAGTTTCCTCGAATCCATGAGAACTTGGCGTTCTGGTCTGACTGCTCTTTGAGAGCAGTGAGAGCACGCTCCAGCTTCGCGGTTACTGACCCATAATATTTTCCATTCCCTCAACCCACCCCTCCTGAGAGCGCATCCCCACACAGCGACATGTTTGTGTCCCTGCTGCAGCCTCTCACCCGACCTCACTAAAAAGAGGCTCTGGGCCCTCCCTGGTGGTGTAAGGGGTTACAGCGCAGCACCATGGGGCAGTCTGTAGCCGCTGCGGTGTGGGTTGTGTGGGTTCTATCCCCGGCCAGGGAGCTGACCCGTATGGTGCAGCAGACCTCTCTTGTCTTGCCTGCTGTTCCCCATAACAGTGTATTTCAGTACACCTGCTTGTTCTGCTCCCCACTCTGCCTCTGGTGAATCCTCTCACCCCTTGCACCTCTGACCTGTACCCTAGTTCTTGTATGCATAAATAAATTTTTTTAAAAAATAATATAGAGGGCCCTCCCTGGTGGCGCAGCGGGTTAAAGCACAGCACTGAGAAGCTAAAGCTACTTCTGCATGAGTTTGATTCCCACCTGCCCCAGAGGTGACCACATGGTGTGGCAGACCTCTCCTGACCCGCCCGCTGCTCCCCTCAGCAGTGTACTTTGTCGATCTGCCTGTTCTGCTCCCCACTCTCTCTGGTGAAGCCTCTCACCGCCCCTGAGCCTCTGGCCTGTACCCCAGTTCTGTATGCACAAATAAATAAATCTTTAAAAAAAAATTTAAAAAAAAAATAACATAGAATACTCCACAGTGGCGGCAGAATAGTCCAGGACTCAGGGTTAAGAGGCCTGGATCCCATTATCAGCTCTACTTCTAACCTAGATGTCCTTGATGAGGGTTCTCCCCTTCTTGGGCCCCTGCTTCTCTCAAGGGAGGAGGCCTTGAGTTCCAGCAGTTCTAACTGACATAGATTTCACACTCTCCATTCCAGGAAGCTGCCTGGCTCTTCCCAGCCTGGCAGCAAGTCAAGAAGCTCACCAAGGCCAGGCAGGTGAGAACTGAGGCCAAAGTGACTGCAGCAGCCAGCAATGAAGCTCATTCAAGTCCCTGTGAGAATTAGGTCTTCTGCTTAGTAACCAAGGAGCAGGTTGCTGTGCTGAATGTCATACTATTTTATGCTGTTTTTTTTTTTTCATTAATATTTTTAAGTCTCAGAGCCAAGTCTCATCACTTTCCATGGCACTAAATAGGGGCTAATTTTTTGTCCTCTCATCACAGCATCTAAGATTTTAGAACATCCTGTGCAATCATAACTAAAGGACTGGTTCCCACATGGCTTTCTTCTTAATCTCCAGTTCCCAAACTGTTTTAACAAGCCATCTCCTTGTCAAAGGTTCTCTGGAATTAGTCCAGTTAAGATAAAATCTTGTGTCCTGTGCAGATACGGGGAGCCAGTCCTTGTTTGACTTCTTAGGCTTTGAGCAGTTTTTAAAGACCTGTCTGGTTTGCCTCCCTCATAAAATGGACACAGTAATGGTTAAAGAAGAATAGAGTTTGGAAAAGTGGTGAACTTCTCCATTCAGCTCTTGGAGAAATGGCTGTGAGAAGAATGGGTTTGGGTAAGGAGAAAAACCAGTGGTACTTTTTAACTTCCACAAGGTACAAAAAATTGTTAAGAAAGCTTTTATTTTTTTTTTAAAGATTTATTTACTTATGCATATAAGAACTGGGGTACAACCCAGAGGTGGAAAGGTAGGGGCAAGAGGACTCACCAGAGACAGAGTGGGGAGCAGAACAGGCAGATCTACTGAAATACGCTGCTGAGGGGAGCAGCAGGCAAGACAGGAGAGGTCTGCTGCGCCATGTGGGTCAGCAAACTGGTCAGAGGTCGAAGTCGTGCTGTAGTGGCTGCACATAGCTACATAGTGCTGCACTGTAACCCCTTGCACCACCAGCATTGTCCTTTTTTTTTTAAAGATTTATTTGTGCATACTGAACTGGGGTGCAGGCCAGAGACTCGGGTGGTGAATGACTTCACCAGAAACAGAGTGGGGAGCAGAACAGGCAGACCAATGAAGTACACTGCTGAGGGGAGCAGCAGGCTGGTCAGGAGAGGTCTGCCACGCCATGTGGTCACCTCCGGGGCAGGTGGGAATCGAACTCATGCGGAAGTGGTTTCAGCTTCTTAGTGCTTTAACCCACTGCGCCACCAGGGAGGGCCCAGCAGCATTGTCCTTTTTTAAGTAAAATCTTTTGCAGAAGCTGCTGTAGCTGCTTAAAGGTCAAGCCCAAGAACCTGCCAAAATCAGCTTTCATCTGCACCCCCTAGTTGAGAGATATAAGCATATAACAAAAGCAGCACCAGCACAGCTCAGCTGAAGGAAAACTTCCTGCTTATTTGCTTTAAAAGCTCCCCTTATCTGCAGCTTGCCAGGCAATAAAATGTTTGCTCTGCTTTACCAATCCTGCTTATTTTATTAATTGACTTGGAGTCAGCAGCCGGTGGAACATCTTGGGGTGGGTAATGCAACTTCATAAAAAGACAGAGGGGGATAAAATGACTTAACCTGGAGATTTGTAGAGTGGGCATAGTGGAAACTCGAACTTCTAGAAGCAAAAGTTGCAAATTGTAATGCTACCAAGAACTTCCTGGACAACCTCTGAATCTCCATTTTAGCTTCTGTAAAACAGAGCTAATAGCTCATTCTCTAAGGATAAGGATGAACCATGGGGCATAGGGTGTGGCTTCATAAGCACTAACTAGATAATTGCCCTGACCTGTATTAATAAAGAAGTTATTAATAAGTTGAAGTTTATTAAAGAGTTGTCAACTAATGCATGCGGGTTTACCCCTCCTCCCCATTGGGAGCCCTCAAAGGAATGTGGGCAGGCCTACAGGTTTCCCACATCCTGGCTCTGAGGGCTGCCGCAGTTACTGTTTATGGGTTGGTTGGTAGCATCCTGTGTATCTTTGGATGATTAACAGTAACATAGATGAGGTCAACAGATACCAAACAATGGCATCTTAATTTAATTTTAAGTACTCTGCAGACTTTTTCAAGGCAGACACTTACACATGGTGTTCCTAACATGTAGGGAGTGTTAGAGACCCTCTTTCATGTGGATTTTTCAGGAACAAGCAGTAATAGACCTGTTTTAGTAAGACTGTAGCTCTTGGCCTGTCATGTGAAATATTTCCTCCACAGAAAAAAATTTGTGTATTAACTGAATTAGCTCCTTTATACAATATACTTATAGATGTATATACATGACATTATAAATAACCAGTTTATAATTTTTTTTTCTTCCTGAAGGCTTTTTTTTTCCTTTCAGTTTTTCTTTTTGTTAGGAAAAGGTGGTGAATATTTAATTTAAAAACACTGTACATTAGGGCCCTTCCTAGTGTTAAAGTGCAGCACTACAAAGCCAGCCAAAGAAAATCCCTGGCCAGAGAACTTACCCACATGGCACAGCAGACCTCTGCCTTCTTGCCCGCTGCTCCCGTCAGCAGTGCACTTCATCATTCTGCCTGTTCTGCTCCCCACTTTGTCTCTGGTGAATCCTCTTGTTTGGGAGAAAGTATGCCCTGAACTAACTCTACAGTCCAAGAATGGGTCAAGAACTAGCAAAGTTATTTTAATTCCTTAAAAATTTCTGAACTTTGTAAAAAACCTAGAAACATATTCTGGTTTTTTGTTGTATTTTTCTTAAGATTTATTTTTATTTCATTTATGCAT